GAGGTTACAGAATACGCCGACTGCACCTGCAGAGGCGTAAGACTCCTCACACACACAGAAATGAGGCGGTTTTGCGGAGCGTGGGACCACCTTTTAATTGCTGTTGTTCTCAGGTCCACACACAGCAGGGGTGGTAGCGCTGATAGCTGTGGGTAAATAGTTAAGATATGCAGATGCCAACATGTTGATAGTACATAAAGAAACGACAGGATCTCCCACAAAAGCTAGTAAAAGAAAGGAAGAAGAAAGGACCAACTATTAACTGTAAGAAGACAGAATTTATTGGTGTCCGCAGAAAGAACAATCCAATATGCGAAGTACGATTTGAAGATACCAAAATCAAGCAAGTACGAAAATTATAACTAGCTGAGATGTGTTGTAACAGAGGATGGAAAATGTGACATTGAAGGTGCTTTGCATTAGAGAAACAAGTGAAGTTAGGTATTAAGAAACAGGAAAATGTCGTTAGAAAGTAAGAAAAAAGTGATAAATGTAATTTTGTAGGGAAACAATGTTCTGATAAAATTATGTTACCACTTTATAGTCGGAATCAACAATTGATATGAATGTACGTTGTATAGTAAATATTAAAGAACATTTGTCCCGCAAGCAATACTGGCGGACTCATATGAGTACGGGCAAAAATATGCTACACCATTGATATAAAAGGAAAATACACAACTAAATATAAGAATGTGCTTTTTTGCTTGTGTGTGTGTGTGAAATAAACATGTATGATAGACACGTGAATCTACTTGCGTTTGTGCGAGAGTTCAAAATTCAACAGAGGACCAAGGATGCGAATACGCCCCGTCGTCAGCGTTCTTTATCTACGTTAGACTACATCTTGAAGCAAGACGAAAAAAAAAAAGAAGAGAAAGACGAAGGAATTCTTATAGACCTAAACAGCGCCGCCCAAACGCGCGTTTTTGGCAAAGACAAGTGGGATAAACGAAAGTAAATATCGGTCCGCCTATATGACAGTGAAAGCCAGACAATCTTCGGGGGAAATATGGTTCAACAGAAGGATGCTGAGAATGACATGGATTGAACCTGTAATTAACGACGAAGTTTTAAGGAAAATGGAAATTGAAAGGGCACTTAAATTTAGATCCAGTAAGAGACAGTTGAAATAAATAGGACACGTAAGGAGGAAAGAGGGCTTAGAGAATTTGACTCTCAAAGGACATACTGAAGCAAAGTGAGAGACCGGAAAGTAGTGATTAATCTAGAAGCAGATCAGTGATCGGAGGAACATGGAAATGATAAAACATAATAAGAGTTAAAAAGGATAGGAAATTGTGGAGACCCATGATCATGCAATCATGCATTGCCCAAGTGCATTGAATTAGAACCTTTAGTTCATTAAGAACAAATTTGACATTTGTTAAATTATACTATTATATATATTTGTTAATTATATATATATATATGTATATGTATATATATATATATATATATATATATATATATATAAAACAAAAAAGTAATAAAATTTTTTTATGAAAGTATTTATTTATATATTTTATATATATTTATATTTATTTATATATATATATGACGCGATAAAAATTTCTGAACGAAAAAGATTTCAGGTCGATCTTTCAAAAAACTTTTAATATATATAAATAAATATTAAAAAATATAAAAAATATGAATATATACTTTCATGAAAAACATTTTTTTAACATTATTTTTTTAATTTGCAACTTTTTAGTTGTTTTTTCTATATATACATATTAAGAAAGTATACGTGGCTTCTCATTATGTTATATATATATATATATATATATATATATGGAGAGAGAGAGAGGCACTGTATATAAAATGGATTTCTCCTACTATTATCCTCACCATATATAACAGTAGGAATGGAGTATTAAACGGTTTTTTCTTTTCTTTTTTTTTTATTTGAATAAAATGCCACTCACTCGAATTCCAACCACGCTCAAAAAGCGAAGGTTCCGTATAAACGTTTCTATTCAAAACAACACAAAGATAATATAAAACTTAAACAGTCAAAGCATGATGAAAAGTTGACAACACCAAAAACAATCCCCTTGAAAAGGTCTAAAGAAGTGTCCTAAAGCGATTGAGACAATGCAATTTTATAGAAAACTTTTCTACTGACTTTGTACAAACAGAAAACGTAAAAAAAAATCGCTGGAAAAATTAAATAAAAAATTAATTTAAATTTAAGAGCATTTCTAAAAAAATTCATTTGTTAAATAATTTCATTCAATTGTAAATAAGTCCTGAGTAGATTCATTGAAATCCGACAATTATTTGATTTTGCAAGAATTTCCAAATAATTGCCTATGCGAATTTTGGCCGGCCCGCTAGCGAAAAAAAAAAAGAAGATATTTAAACAAAATTTCGATCCCCCTAAAAATGACACACACACACACACACGCACACACACATACATATATATATATATATATATATATATATATATATATGAAAAAAGAAAGACAGAAAGAAAAATATAGGAGAGAGACAGTCTGATAAATATACAGAGAAAAAAAGATCTGAAAAGACTTTACTCATAGTAATAATCTAATTTTAGTAACTAACACTCATTTTCGACAATATTTTCCCATGAACTAAAAACAGACGTATTAATAATCATCTTTAGGCGCCAACTGGCTAATTTTATGCAACTTCCTGTTATTCGCAATCTGACGCAAAATGCTTCAGATAACCTGCCGGTCCCTGGCATAATTTGATTAGTTTTCTGCTCCCTAAACCAACAAATGCCCGCTTTTTCCATGTATCTTATACACAAACAATTGTGATTGTAATTTGACTCAAAATAACTACACTTCATAAGCATCTTCTAAATAATTTCACTTACAGCCTGTATCTCTCTATAAGGCTCACCTTTTCTTGTATGTTAACCAAAATTAAGCAACATCGAGTCTGGTAAGTACCTAAAGAGATGACCGCATAGGAATAGTGATATAAGCTTGATGATGTGGGTGACAGTCATATATATATATATATATATATATATATATATATATATATATATATATATATATATATATGTGACTACTTTTGTAAGTTTGTGTGGGGTATATATATATATATATATATATATATATATATATATATATATATATACTCTGTTTTTCTGTTTTTTTGAATTTGTAGGTCTGATGAATTGGATCGTATTTACGATTCCAATGGAATAAATTAAGACCATGAAATATTGGTGTTTAGGCCTTTTTCTTATATTCTTACTCTGTCCTGGACATTGAGTTCTACCTGGATTCTATCCTCTTGAAAATTCTTTATTCAAACATATACATGTATGTGTATGCACCTATGTATATATATTTATATATTTTGTATATTTATGTGTATATTTAGCACTAATATTATATATATATATATTTAAATTTTGCAAAAATAATTTTTCTAATGTCGTTTTTTGACGTACATTGTAACGTCAAAAAACGACATTATTGAAATCATTTTTTTGCACCAACCTAATATATATATATATATATATATATATATATATATATATACACAGACACATATATATATATATATATATATATAGCCTGAACAATGGACGGAGTCGGGATGTTGAAGGTAATATCAATAAGCTAAGTGACAAACTATATATATATATATATATATATATATATATATATATATATATATATATAATAAAGCTGTTTTTGAAAACAAGTAATGTATATCTTGTCTGGAAAAAGCGTTCATTGCTCAGTTAAATAAATTGAAACTTAAGAATTATTTAATATTTAAATAATATTTAAAATATAAACAATAACCTTTTTCTGTTACTGCGGTTTCCACTAATAATTCCTTTTTCAGACAGTGAAAAGGTATATATATATATATATATATATATATATATATATATATATATATATATATAATTTATATGGGTTTTCACGCAATCATTGGATCAGATAGTTGGCAAGTGTTTTGTATTTTTTATGCGAAAATGGCTATTTTAATCCCCATTCGTCTAGCTCAAATTATTATAACGAGGCAACATAAGGAGGAAAGAATGCTTGGAGAATGTAACTGTCGCAGACATGATGGGCAGAGGGAAAAACGATTAACTTGCCTAAGAGTGGGAGTGATGCTGAAAATAAAAATTACTAAGCGCTAGAGAGGATAGGATGTTGTGGAGAACCATGATCGCCACGACCAGAAGGTAGAGTGACACATAGATGATGTTCATAAAGCAAATATATACAGAAATGATTATAATGGCTCGTAACACGGACAGACATATATTAAAGGATAAAATCTGCTTTTTAAATAAATCGAGAAATACATTTAACTTAAAATTTAACATTTATAAATTAGTATCACTGTAGATAACGATCTATCGTCATACTTGTAAAATCGAAAAGCCATAGGAAGAAAATCAACGGGTGAGATATTGGCATTTTATTCTAAGCCAAGCTTAACAAAACAAATACGCCCGGCAATCAGGCTCGTCGCTGTTGTGAGCAAAATCTCAGAACTAACGACAACGGATTTCGGCTCACTATGCCCAACCCCCAGAATGACTCTTACAGTTTATTAAATTAGCCATTTGTGGTTTCACAACTAACCTAGTTCCCAGTTGCCATTAGATCCGGTACATTTTCACGCCCCAAAACAGGGCCGACTGCGATAAGCAGTTGTGGGCCTCGTCAAAAGGGGAAATAAAGGCGAAAAAATAAAATAAAGTAAAATAATAAAATAGATGCCAAAATTAAAACAAGGAGATCAACTGCCCACTTTGTAAACACACAGAAGCAAACACACACACACACGAACATACATACACACACACAAACATAAATATAGATACGCATATACACAATACATATGCAAAGAGAGAGTGATATATATTTTCTCAGAAGTGTATATGTATTCGAGATTTGTGAAAAAAAATGGACGCTTATGAAGAAAAGACAAAATGGCGGTCGGTAGTTAAGGTTGTATATATATTTTTTCAGTTTTACACACGGAGATAGATAGATAGATAGATAGATAGATAGATAGATAGATATCAATATTAACGTGATAGTTTGATAAATAAATATGAAAAACAGCGATAGACAGATAGATCGACAAACAGACAAATAACTGTCTCAGTTTGATAGAAGACTGATAGAGATATGAATGAGATAGATATGTAGATATTATCTGTCATATATGTTTCTTGAAACCGTCTTATATATATATATATATATATATATATATATATATATATATATATATATATACACACAGACACACACACACACACACACACACATATATATATATATATATATATATATATATATATATATATATATATATATATATATAAAAGTGAATATAGAAGTCAACACTTAGAGGCGACAGTCTGTTTCATGCTATATGCAATCGTCAGACCACATATGCTGTTATTTTCCTCGGCTAGCAAATAAACAAACGACTTCCGGTAAAATAACCGCCATAATAGAATACCCACAATGCACCACTAACCCGCATATATATAAATAGCCGAGGAAAATTGACAAGATGCATCCGTAAGGTCTATGCTAGCGATTTCATTTCTCGCACTTTTCGCTTGTTGAATTCTCTTCCGGCACCGTGCTTTCCAACTTTGGTTGTCAAAATCAGTCTTTTGATTCTCTGTCAGTCACAGTGTTTTTCAATATCTATCTATCTATCTATCTATCTATCTATCTATCTATCTATATATATATATATATATATATATATATATATATATATATATATATATATATCACAGTCTTTTGATTATCTGTCAGTCTTTTAATTAACTGTCATAGTCTTTACGTTATCTATCTATCGATCTATCACAGTATTGTCATTGTCTATCTATCGATCAATCTATCTATCGACATATATATATATATATATCTATATATATATATATATGTTAAAGGCATTCAGGAAGAGAAATCCGTTCTATCCTGAAGTGAGCTAATAAATTATTTTTCAAAAAGACACGCAATCTTCAATCTTTAGGCCATTCTTCGATATCTAGCGGATGGACTCAAATAATCCCCCCCCATATGTGTGTGTGTGTGTGTGTGTGTGTGTGAACACTGTGGTCAGCACAGAATGGCTAATGTCTGCTTCACCCTTGAATACAATTGATGGCCGGAATATTGTGTTCAAGACCGGTTTATACCAATATTTCCATAGGCTCTAACTCCGATATTTAGCACTCTTACGCATAAATATATCTTACCTTAAAACTATATTTTTTATATATATATATATATATATATATATATATATATATATATATATATATATATAACGTCTTTCTCTATACGAAACATGCCAGCAGCTCATAGAACTCAATTCAATTTTACTTGAAGAGTAATGCTTCATAGCAGTAGGAGCTGCTGTTTTTAAAACCACCTTTTTTTCTAGGGAGGACAACAGGATTTCCAGGGATATATATATATATATATATATTTATATATATTTATATATATATATATATTTATTATATATATATAAATACAGACTATATATATATATATATATATATATATATATATATATATATATATATATATATATATATATATATATATATATATATTCATTTAATTAAAATTAAAACGTCAACAACTTGAAGGATCCATTCATAGTGTGTGTGTGTGTGTGTGTGTGTGTGTGTGTGTGTGTGTGTGTGTGTGTGTGTGTGTGTGTGTGTGAACTTTCAAAACACGTAAAATTTCTCACACACGTATTATAATGTATTTTGTCAGAAAATATTCGGGTAAACGTGTTTTGTTAAATAAAATAGACAAATCGTGCCTATTCCAGGTTATTGTTTTTTTCTTTCACTGACAGATTAATTTCCGTAATGTTCACAGTTCATGTCAGTTTATTTAAAATTTCAGTCAACTTAGTACATTAATATATCACGATACCTGTCGAGTGAACAGAAAAGGTACGGCTAATTGATACAGATTTCCAAGAACTGACTTAACTTGCCAGGTACACTGATACACACGCGTGCGGACACACTGAAAACAAAAACGCACGTGCGCCTCAGGGTCGGTCGTGTTTTGTCGGATTTTCTTGACGAATGTTCACGGAGACAATTAACGAGCTAAATTTGAGAAAATTAGTGAACTATTCGAAGAAGACTGTGGCCGAACAATTCACCTGCTTGCTCACATGGAAGCGGTTAATAGACATTTTCGTTTTTAAACAATTATTTCGATTCAAAACACAAGAGACAGTCATCGTAGAGGGTTATCGAATGCGGTTGTTTTATGCGCGTAGAGGAATAAGTACGAAGTGCATCATATCAGCAATTTATTACTTATATTTTTTTCCTATTATTTCATTTTTATATATTTAACACTGATGTCAGTTTTTTTTCTGTATTTTTGTGCTTGTGTGTGCGATTGTGCGCGCGTAGACATGAGCCCGCCTCTGCGGTCGTACGTTCGCGTTTGTGCGACCGTCTCCGCGGATCTTGCACACGCATATGCATACATATTTTCATGTTTATTCATATATTAGAGCCTTTTTATCTATACTTGTACACACATATACATATATATATTTTTCAAATATATATATATATATATATATATATATATATATATATATATAAACTCTAGTTTTCGGTGGACTGATTTAAAATCCAACAGACATCTAAAGCTCAAATATATATATATATATATATATATATATATATATATATATATATATATATATATATATATATATCTAATTAAATATATATATATATATTAATTTGATTAAAATTAAAAGCAGACTATCATAATCGATTGATTATATTTTATTACCCCAGGAAAGTATTTTTTCCTGGTTCTTCAGATCACATTTCCTGGGTAAATAAAATATAATCAATGGACCCTTACCTTTGTCTGCTTTTTTAATTTCAAATTGATATTCGCTCTGGTTTTACATTGGGTTTATCCATACTTTTCAATACCTAACTTTTTATTACCTAAGTATATATATATATATATATATATATATATATATATATATATATATATATATATATATATCCGAATGGGTAAATATAGCTAGGTATACAATTATATATAAATATATTTTTAAAAATATATATATAATTATTCGGTAGTGTAAGAAAACAACAGTGGTCAGTGTTAAATAACAGTGCTATTTAATACATATTAAGCAATATACATAATACTTTAAATTAAAGTATTACATTAATATAAAGTATTATGAGTATTATAATGTACACACACACACACACACACACACACACACACATATATATATATATATATATATATATATATATATATATATTAAGCTTCCGGTTAGCAAATTGCAAATTACTGTTTTTAACCAACACAGCGAAATTTATAACCAGACGCTTCCTCTGTAGCCAAGTTGTATAGCACGTCAGATCAAATGACGATTCCGTGTAGGATCTACGTTCGATTCCTGTCGAAGGACACATATTTTGTACGAAACTTCTCGGATATTCAAGTCACTAAATGTAATTAATATGGTTTATTATAAACAGAACTTTTTTTTTTTTTTTAAATAACTGCATCTATAAAATAACATATAAACCGAAAATATATTAAAATAATTGTCGGACTTAATCTCTTTCATAACATATATATAATATTCATAAGAAGATTTTAGTTATCCATTTCGTTTATAATTTTTATTTTGGGAAAACCGAAATTTTAACTCCACAGAAGTCAGCATCTCCTCTGCTATATATATATATATATATATATATATATATATATATATTTATTTATATATATATATAGTCATCCACAGACATACAGTTTCCCCTGTATCACAGCTAATCAATGTGGCTAGACATCTGATCGCTCAGGCCGGGACCGAACCGAAACCCTACGAATTATTATCAGTCGGAGATTCTAACCCCAAGTCATCGACGATCGCCAGAGAGAAAGGCGAATTTTACGTATTATTTTTTCTAAAACACACCAGTCACTCAGAGATTTCAATCGCGAGGAGAGTCTTGCATTTTCAGCAGTAATTATAAACAGAGCATTTACTTATATATATATATATATATATATATATATATATATATATATATATATATATATATATTATCATCGTTACCAGAGGACTTTCCGTTTGGCTGTTGTTGCATAGCCCTTTTCATCTCAGCAATAGATGGAGTAAATGATTACCGTTTTAGAATAGGCCTCTGTGTCAAGAGTCTCATCAACATTCGAATCAATGATTAGAACATTTGAGAAATATTCTGCCGACGTTATTTTATTGTTTCCGTTAGAATGTTGCCGTTGGAAGCAAAAATGGGAGTTGGGCCGTTTCAGACAGTTCCAAAGACACTCACTAGATTCTGGTAGCTTCTGGTCGCATTTATCAATAGCATCATGCAATCCCTATGCTTTCTCTCACAAACATGATTGTTTCACTTTCTGTAGTTAAAACTGGCATCGCTTTCTGACTTTCTTGAATTCATTGCGCTTTGTGGCATTTTTCTTGTCTGACGTCCATTGACGATAGCCCTTGTGCATATCATCCATAAGAGGAAGAATACTTGGATCATTTGAGTCAAACCAGTCTTGATATTTTCCCTTGATATATCCAAACGTTTCCTGGGATGATGGATAGCACTTTTAAAAACACACCATGTTGATTCAATGTCTTCACTGTACGGGATATCGCTGTCATCAGGGTCTGAAAAGATTTTAAGTTGTCAGTGTTGTTTAGCTTTTTGACATTTACACTATGAGCTGGTGGAGTGCGGTTGTTACGAACCGGACTACGGATAGGAAAGCTAAAATTGGATCGTAAAGTCAGACTAACACTCCCAAATGGATACGATGAGACAACGTGGAAATTCTTGTCAACAACGCGTTTTCGGCGGCATCTATTCTCGGTTAATTTAGGTCTGAAGGAAAGACAAAACTCTTTTTGAGTCAATAAGGACAATATATTTATATATGAGCATGTAGCCGTGTGGACGAGTTGAATGAAAATGCTGTTATATAATTCACCCGTTTTTGGAGATATTCCAAATTTTGGAGAGGATTCAGGGAACCACTCAACTATCTTTTCCCCAGAAATACGTTGCAATTCGCAGATAATAAAGAAAAGGAATCTGTAAAGTGGCATTTTAAAAAAATATTATGTTGGATGATACACACAAAATAATTTATGTCGCTTTTCAGTCTGACCCCTGAAATTTTCATTTGATGCCTGGAAACTATATTTTTTTTGTATATTTTTTTTAAATCTATCATACACATTAATAAGTTTAGCATTCATTCATGCATTGAATATTGCTGTCACATCTGATCTGCGACTTCTGCTATATATCTAGAGATTCTAGATAAAATACAAAGAAGAGTCTGCAATGTTATTCGCCCTGACCTGGCATATCAGCTTCAGTCATTCTCTCCTCGATATAACGTAGGTTCCCTGTGTTTTTTCTATAAATATTTTCATGGTAATTGTTCTAATGAACTTTCCTCTGTGGTACCCTGACTTTATGTTGTGGAGTGATTTCGGAGTGGAGGCTTGTATTTGTACTAAATCGGTCCTAAAATAGGTTCGACGTACAAAACGTTAAGAACTTGGTATAATAAGTATTACGCAGAGTAATCTAGTTGTGGTCGCTGATACTTTCGTATTTGACTAACTGTCGTCCGACATCGACTGACTCAGCGACTGCTTACTACTCCTACTTATTATAGGTGGGAGAGTCTATTAACTATAGAATAGGTGAGTTTCACCAAAGCACTTTATGAATTTAAGTGCAGTACTAGATTGTCATTTCTGTTCACTCGACATTATAACTAGATATAACAATAAGTTCTATGCTGAGTGTTAGAGAGAAAAATAACTTTTGATTTTGCATTTAAATGCTTGAAGATCAATGTTGACTTGGAATCAGTCAGTAGGAAGATGGTTCCATAAACGAGAAGTGCGAGAGAAGAAAAGTTACCATAGAAATTACGGTTATATCTAGGCATTTCAACTGTAAAAGGATGGGACCTTGCCGCCAATCTAGTACTGAGTTTAAATTCATAATGTGTAGTTACAAGGAAACTACGTTACGTTACATTTAGTGAGGAAATGATGAAGACGACGACAATGAAGAAGCGGAGTATATGTGGAAGAAGAAAAGGAAGAAAAAGTGTCATACGAAGAAGAAGAAGGAAGAAGAAGAAGGAAGTGAAATATATGAGGACGAAAGAGAAAACGACGTCGAAGAAGAAGCAGAAGAAACAGTAGTATATGAGAAAGAAGAAGAAGAAGGAAGAGAAGTATATGAGGAAAAAAGAAGACGACATCAAAGAAGAAGTAGAAGAAACAAAAGTATATGAGAAAGAAGAAGAAGAAGAAAAAAGAAGAAAAAGGAAGAGAAAAAGGATATGAGGAAGAAAAATGAGACGACGTCGAAGAAAGAGAAGAAACACAAGTATATGAGAAAGAAGAAGAATAACAAGAACAAGAAATCCTGCTATTTAAGAAGAATAAAAAGAAAAAAAAGAAGAATTTTAAAAAGAAAAAAAAAAGAAAGTAGGAATATTAAAAATAAGAAGAAGAAGAAGAAGAAGAAGATTAATAGTCGAAGAAGAAGACGTTAAGAAAAAATGAAAATATTTTCGTTTAATGAAAAAAAGAAGAAGAAGAAGAAGAAGACGAATTTATATTTGATGAAGAAGACGGGTAAAAGAAACAGGTTTGATAGAGAAAAAAGAAGAAAAGCAAAGAAGAAGAAGAAGAAGAAGAAGAATATTTATTCATAATAAGCAAGAAGAAAAGAAGAAGTCAGCATGAAGAAAGAAGAAGAAGATGAAGAAGAAGAAGAAGAAGATCAATCTAAAAGAAGAAGAAACAGGAAACAAGAAGAAAATTTTTGAGAGAATCGAAGATTAAAGAAGAAGAAGAAGAAGAAGAAGAAGAAACAAAATAAGAAAACCAATTTTTTAAAAGAAGAAGAATTTTCTTTTGAAGATTAAGAAAAAAAGAAAGAGAAAAAAAAAAAGAAAGGAAGAAGAAAAACTTTCTATTCAAAATTTGTATCTAAAAATTCTTTTTCAAAGAAAAAAAATCTTCTTCATTTTATCAAAGTGTCTTTTTGTCATTAAAAAGAAGGAGAAAATAATGAAGAAATAAGTTCAAATCTAAAAATTAAGTATTTTATAAACAAAAAAAAAAAGAAGAAAAAAAAAGAAGAAGAAGAAAGAATTTTTGAAAATAAGAAAAAATCAAAACAAATTGATTTAAAAAAATTTAGAAGGAAATTGAATGGAGATTCATTTAAAAGAAATAATTTATTAAACAAATTTTTTTTGGTATTTCGTCCTTAACCAAATAAGAATTTTTTAAAACAAGAAAGAATCAGAAAATAAGAGGAAGGCATAGGAATTGAAAATAAATAATGTCCAAAATATTTTCATTCCTTTTTTTCTAAGAAGAATTTTAGAGATGAAGAAGAAGAAATGGTTGGAAAAAAAGGTGAGAGTAAAGGAAAGAAGAAGAAAAATAAAAAGAAATTTTTTTAAAAAAAAGAAAAAAAAAAAAAAGAAAAAAAAAGTCTAGAATAATTTAGAAAAAAGGTTAATAATCGAGTAAGGAACGAAATTCAAAAAATAAAGTTTACGAGAAAAAGTAAGAACTAGAGAAAGAAGAATAATTGTTCTACAAAAAAAAAGAAATGAAAAAAGAAAGGTTCCAAAGAAAGAAAAACAGAAAAGAAAGAAAGTAAGAAAATTCTTAAAACCTTATGTTTGCCGTGAATTGAAAGACCATGTTGTTAAAAAATAAATAAAAGAAAGAAAGAAAGAAAAAGATTTGCTTTAAAAGAAAGAAAAAATGTTCAGGGTGTTTTTAAAAGAAATTTTTAATTAAAGAAAGAAAAAAGAAGGGAGGTTTGAGTAAAAAAAAAGAAAGAAAAAAGAAGAAAAAGAAAATCTTTTGTTTCTGAAAGGAAAAGAAAGAAGACGGGGAATAAAAAAAGGAATGAAAAAAACTTTGATTTGAACAAAAAGAAAACGAAAGAAGGAAGAAAAAAAAATAAATGGAGATTCATTTAAATAAATTTCAAGGTATTTTTTAAAAAAAGAAAAGATTGAAAGAAGAAAAGAAAATTACAAAAAGAAAAAAAAAGAAATAAAGAAAACTTTAAAAAAGAATAAAAGGGCATCATAACTTAAATAAAATGAAAGGCACTAAAAATTATTTAATTTCTCCGGTTTGTTTTTTTCATTGAAATTTTCCAAAAAGAAATTTTCTCAAGAATGATGAAAATTTATATTATATTACGAAATATATATATTTAATATATAAAAAAAAATTGGTTCAACGTTTCAATCTAGAAAAGATTGAAAAAAAAAAAAAGAAAAAAATAAAAAGCCAAAAGATATTTGAATGAATAATTTGAAAATAAAGACCAAAAAAGAACCACAACGAGCCGAAAACGAAATGAGGAAAAATAAAAATAAAAGAAAAAAAAACAAACAAAATTCATCGTTTGAAGCATAAAATATGTCAATACTTCCTGAATATTTTGATGTAAAGAACTTCAAAGAAGAATAAATTAGGTTCTGCTTTAGCTATCAAAAGAAAAATATTTTACTTTTTTGAGATTATGGTTTTTTCCATGTTGTTAATTTTTTGAGATTTTAACTTGAAATGTTCATCAAAAAGTTAATGATTTCATAAAACACATAAAACTCAATGAAAGAAACTCTCAGTGGCACATATTAAAAAATTAAAATACTGTATCAATTAATGTATAAAAAAAATAATTGTAAATTCATTTGAAAAGAAAATTTTTTTTCAAAGATAATATCTGATATTATATTCTTAAAAAAGAAAAGAAAGAAAGATAAAGAAATAAAAAAATAAATTTATTAATTATATTTATATATATATATATATATATATATATATATTGATATAAAGAAAACAAATAAATAAAGAAAGAGAAATTCATCATATTAAAAAGATAGAAAGAATGTAATATAAACTTAAGAAAAGGAAGAAAGGATAAACGTTAAAAAAAAAAAGGAAATAAAGATATATTACAAACAATGGACCAACAAAAGGTAGAAAAAAATGCAAAACAAAACAATTTTTTTTAGAAAGAAAGAAAGAAAGAAAGAAGATAGAAAGAAAAAAAAAAATGAAAGAAAGAAAAGAAAAAAAAAAAAGAAAGAAAAAGACAGGTAAATTAAAAAAAAAAAAGAAAGAAACAAAGAAAGAAAAAGAAAGAAACAGGATGAAAATATAAATTTTAAAAAAAGAAAATAAAGAAAAAAACAAAAAAAAAAGAAATTTTTAAGAAAGAATTGTTTTTTATAAATAAAAATAGAATATATAATATAAATAAATTTATAAATAAAAGAAAAATAAAACTTTAAAAAGAAAAATGAAATTAGACAGGAGTTAAGAAAGCTTGAAGAATTTAATTTTGAAAGAAAACAAAGGAACAATCCAATAAAGAAAAAATAAAGATATATATAGAAAAGTTATTGAATCGAATTAACAGAAAATTGAAAAAAAAAAGATTAGACAGTATTTTTTGAAATAAAGAAAAGAAAAAAAGAAGGAAAATGGGTAAAGACAGGAGTTTAGGTTCTTAAATAAAGAAAGAAAGAAAAAAGAAAGTTTAGAAAAAGGTCATAATTTTATGCATATTTAAAAATAAAAAAAAGATTCAAATTGTTAAGAAAAAAGAAAGAAATGAAATTTAAAATAAAACTCAGGAAAAAAGAAAAAGAAAAAAAGAAAAGATTTATTTATGAAAGGAATAAAAAAACTGATTTAAATTATTTTTAAAAAAAGTTAAACGAAATAAAGAAAGAAAATAAATTATGAAAAGAAAGAAAGAAATCATTTTGATATTGAATCCCTCCGACAGGAGTTATGTCATTTTCCAAAAGAGAAAAAAAAAGAAAGAAAAAAGAAAGAAGACAGGTGTTATTGAAATCAATAAATGATAAATTTTCTTTTCATTATATTTACCCCATAAGTTAGACATTCGTTTATTTAAAGAAATCTTATAAATTTGTCAAAAAAAGAAAAAAGCAAAGAAGTTCATCATTTGAAAGAAAAGAAAAAATAAAACTGAAAAAGAAAGAAAATTGAAGGTGGATTTAGTTGGAATTTGTCTTTTTTAATTTGAAAAAAGTCAATTTAAAACAAAAAGAAAGAAAAAAAAAAAGAAGAAGGTTTTATTGTTAAGAAAGAAAAGAAAGAAAGAAAGAAAAAAAAAAAAGAAAGAAAAGAAATAAAGTGTTAAAAAGAATAAAAAAAAAACATTGAATTTATTAATAGAAATTTAAAGAAAGAAAGAAATTTTAAAGAAAGAAAGAAATTTGAAATTTGAAAAAAAAATTTTCGAAACGAAAGAAATTGATCCCCAAAAATAGACATTTGTTTAAATGTTTGAAAAAAATATTTTTTCTGAAAAAAGAAACATTATGGGATAAAAATTAAAAGAAGTTCAAAAAAAACTTAAATTTAATAATGGAAAAGAAAAAAAGAAAGAAAAAAAAAAGAAAGAACGAAGGAATTGATTCCACGAAACAATGAAAATCTAGTTTTCATTATTGAAGGAAGAATGAAAGAAAGTTTAAAGAAAATAAAAAAAGAACATTTGAATGAATTCAGAAAAGAAAGAAAGAATAAATAATAAAATTGTTTTTTTGTTTTGTTGGAATTATGAAAAGAAAGAAAAAAATGAAAACAGAAAGTAAAAAAAAAGAAAAAAACAATTTCTGTTTTTTTTTTTTTTTTTTTTTTTAAGCATTACGCCCCGAGCAAGGCGTGAAGCCACTAGGATGCAGGGGGTTGCAGAAGATTTGGAGCGAGAGCAGATAAGAGTGATAGAAGAAAGGATGAGGAGAAGGATAGTGGGTAGATCAAGGTAACTGGAGATGTCGATTGACATTACATTTGAATAGTTGGAGATTATAGCTCTCAGGGAAACAGTAATTGGGAAGGGTGTTCCACTGGCGAGAGGTGCGAGGTATGAAGCTATTGGAGTAGAAGAGACGGCTACATTTAAAAAGTTTCTACAGTGTAAGGGTGAGAGCGGGATGCCAGCCTCGTAGGGCGCTTGAATTCATGGAGTCTGGGAACCAGTGAAAGCAGCTCATCAGAGCAATTACCATGGAAGTATTTGTAGAAAAGACAGAGAGCGACGGCGCGTCTGTGAGAGAGTGACTGCAAACAAGACGCTAGATCAGGGCCAATTAGATTACATATCCTTCTCTGGATCTTGTCAAGAACTCCGAGATTTGCAAAAAGTAAAAGGGTGAACAAAATTTAAAGTGACAATTATGAACCCAATCCTTTACCAATTTTTTATGTGCTGTTTCGCTTCATGACGTGGGCGATAATGGCTCTCCCTAACTTCCTGTTCCTTGTTGGTCTAACCACACCTCCTTGACCCCACTCTTCCATCCATTCACCCAAACTCATTTCTCGCTGTCACTCGCTGGGATCCACTATATTTCCTTCATTCAGTATGTCATGTGAGTGTTAAATTTTCCGTGCCGACTTTCCTCCCTGTATGTACCAGAAATTTCAACTGACTCTTTCTGTTTTTTTTTTTTTTTTTTTTTTAAGTATAAGCCTATGTGTATCTAGTATTCGTTAGGCTCAGTTACCTGCTGTCAGCCCCACAATTGAACAAACCATTTAATTTTACGATGTTACCAAAGGTTCGAAATTAATTCTCTCGCACAACACAGAAAAATTGTTATCTCCCAAATATTCTTAATGCAATATTCACTCGCAAATGAAAAGAAACATTCCTAGATTCCGTGTTTAAATAACCCACAAAGGGTTGAGAAACCATAAAAAACAGCTAAGACCCGTCACATCACGCACAATGTGACGAACTATTCTAATTCTATTTGTATTCCAGTAGTAATTCAATCGGACAGTTTCTGTCTAAGAACAGCTACAGTGTGGGACAGACTTCGGAGGGATGAGTTTCTTGAAATGAACAGTTGTAATCTCTTCAAGTTTTAGGTTAAAAAGAAAAAAAATTAGAGAAAATATTTTTTTTTAAAAGTAATCCCCCAAAAAAAAAAAAAAAAAAAGAACAATAAAAAAAAAAATTTTCACAACTATTGGTCATTTGTTTCATAGAAAAAAAACTGGAGTTTAGAAAAGAGTTTTGATTGTACAGCCTTTTCTTTGGTCAGTTTGTCACCGTCTTTCATTATTCATTCATTCAGTCAAATTTTTATTCATTTAATTCATTTTTTTCTCTATCATTTTTTTTATATTTATCTTTCTGTTTTCCTTTTATTTTAACATTAAAATTTAAATCGTTAGCGTTTGTCACATCGCAAGCAAAAATTTTAACTTTCAGATGAACACAACAATTTTGTTTTAGAAAAATAGGAACACAGTTTTTGTCTTAGAAAAAAAAAGATCCTGATGATGATAATGTGCTAATATCAAAAGTACTCGGAATAAATATGTATCAATATGGTAATTTTTTCTCTTCCTTTAATAAGGATACTAAGAACTAAGAAGCTTGTCCGGGAGTATGAGAGGATCCTACTGAAAATAAGTAGACAATTTATTTAATGAGACAGGTCATATATATATATATATATATATATATATATATATTTGCTGGGATTTCATTTTTTTTTCTTTCTTTTTCGACTCTATCGAACATACTCTTTCTTTTTTCTTTTTATTTGATTTTTATTGGCTTTATTTCTTTCTTAATTCATTTATTGATTCATTGGGATGAATGGTGGAGTAATGTGTAGAGGAGTTGGAAAGCCGAGTCGAATCCATTACATTCACTTACATGCTAATACACTCCCCCCCCCAGCTTTGGGTAAGTAGCAGGACAGACCGGGTTCTATAGCCTTGGATGGCAACTGGTCTACCGCAGAAAGAAATGGCAATCTTGAATGGCAACTGGTCTACCGCAGAAAGAAATGGCAACCTAAGGTGAGAAAAAATAATATCTTCATAATGTATCGAAAATTTTGTATATGATTGGCTAAGCGTGTATCACGCATGTCACATAACTGTCTGTTAATTTTCTTTATTCCTTTGGCGTGTTCGTTTTTTATTGTTTTTTGTTTTTTTTTCAAACATACTTTTTAAAAATGTTTTCTCTAATTTCAATTTTTATTCTAATTTTATTTTATTCTAATTTTTATTTTTCTAATTTTATTTTTTTTAACTTAAGACTTGATAAGGTTACAACTGTAGTGATCGAGAAATATTCCTCTCCGGAGCATGTACAACACAGTAGCTGTTCTTAAGCAGAAGCTGTCCAAGTGAAAATTCCTTCTTACTACTGGAATACAAAGGAATGAGCATGATTCGTCAGATTATGCGTGATATGTCGTTAGTTAGCTGTTTTTTATGGTTTCTCAAAACCTTTTGTGGATTATTTAAAGCCGAAACGTATTTTGGATTCTAAGAATGTTTTTTTCAATACAAATACATACCCACGTACATATATTAAAACACGCCCAACCTTTTATTTTTTACCCAATAATAGACAATATTACAAACATGCCAAAATGATTCCACCAGACAACAGACAAATCAAAGTTTCTATTGGCTAGAAATTAGCATCAGGAAGTCGTTATTTTGACCAATCAAAGGAAACTAAAAACTTATTTTTCTCGAACCTTCTTTCGGGAAAAAAAATTCTTATAAAAGCCAACAGATTTCGACTTTCGCACGAGCAGAGATGCGACTGTGTCCCCACAGCGCGTGCCTAAAGGAACATCTATAAGCGAACTTCAAACGAATCATCTTCAACAACAACAAAGACAGAAATCTTCGGTGTTAATAAAAGTCTTTTTCTAACCCCAGCTTTTTACGGTGGACCAATGATGTAAAAACTCTTTTCTAAACTCTAGAATTTTCAGTGAACCAACTAACCAATAGTATTGTTGCCTTTGATTGTGCAGCCTTTTCTTTGGTCAGATAGTCACGGAATTCGTGTTTTGAACTAAACTGGTTTAGATGACTGATAATAAGAAATAAAGAAAGAAAGACAGAAGAAAAAAGAGGACAAGGCAAAAAGAAAAAGGAAAAGGCAGGAAATAAACAGATTTCTTTGACTTATTCTTTCTTTCTTTTAACGCATTCCAGCATTAATATTCTTTCTTTCCTACATTCATTTTTAACTCATTCACGCTTATATTGTTTGTTTTTACAGTGTAACCCGGATATAAGATACCCGGATATAAGAGACCCGGATATAAGAGAGATTTTCTCTGGTCCCAAATTAGAGCCTGTGTTAATGTATATAAAATAGACCAAACCCGGATATAAGAGAAACCCGGATATAAGAGACTTTTTCTCCGGTCCTTACAACTCTTACATCCGGTTACATCCGGGTTAATTATGTATTTGTTCGTTGAATTATATATTTCTTTTCTTTCATTTTATTCTCTCATTCTATTTATTTTTCATTCATGTTTTTGATAGCTTTTCCTTCCTTTTTTTTTATTTATCTCCTTCCTAAATACAGTAAAAACTGTTAATGTATATAAATAGAGAACCGGATATAAGAGACTTCTTCTCCGGTCCCGACAACTCTCTTACATCCGGGTTACACTGTATTTGTTCGTTGAATTATATATTTCTTTTTCTTTCATTTTATTCTCTCATTCTATTTATTTTTCATTCATGTTTCGGATAGCTTTTCCTTCCTTTCCTTTTTTTTTTTATATCTCCTTCCTAGATACAAAAAAACCCGGATATAAGAGAACCGGATATAAGAGACTTTTGCTTCTCGGTCCCGACAACTCTCTTACATCCGGTTTTTACACTGTATTTGTTCGTTGAATTATATATTCTTTTTCTTTCATTTTATTCTCTCATTCTATTTATTTT